CTACGTAATCTAACGGAAATGGAAATAACAGTAAACTTATTTATAACCTCACAATAAGGCAAATTTCAACCGATTAAAATTCGCCTTATAAATTAGTTTACTTCTATTTCTATTTTCGTTAGATTATAGCAGTATCCTGATTGGCTCATCGATTTAAGTTCACGTTTTAGGCCGAAATCAGACTACGCATTGCAGAATGAGATTGAAGATTGAAAGATTGAAGTTTGACCAATCAGAACAGAAGGAGCAAAAACTTCTTTGTCCTCATTGGTGAAATTTCAATCTTTAATCTCAATCTTTAATGCGTAGTCTGATTCCAGTTTTAAGGTTATTGTCACAGAAATTTTGTCTCCGACAGCCCTAAGTTCATAAATTTGTGGCATGGACTTATGGACAAACTTATAGTGGGGAGTACAGACTCTTGTATAACACATAAAACATGAAGCATAAAAAAAATGAACCAATCAGAGTCCTTTATTTCATGGAAAGGAAAGAAATAAAGGTAGGTTATTTTTTTATGGAGTTACATGACATTTTCCCAAAAAACTAGACTGGAAAATGTTGATAATCAAAATCCCTCGGCAACACGATTTTAATTTGTACGGATTAGTAACACTATTGAAGTATATGACGGAGTACTCTTAACGCATAACACATTTTCCAGTCTAGTTTTTTGGGAAAATGTCATGTAACTCCACAAATGCTGATAAACGCAAAAACTATGACAATTTAGTGATCCTGCATAGGCTTAAATGCGTTAAAAATTACAAAAATAAGCAAATTCACTAGAGTATTCATAATTTAATTAGTCAATATCTAGTAACCTTTGCTCACCTTTGTAATTTTCACCTCCTTTCAAAATCCACAATCGACCCCCAGACTTCTATTATAACACTAGACTGCTAATTCCCTACTTTTCCTTATATAAAAGTATTGCCTACGCGCAATGAATGCGCAATAGAAAACCGTATAGAAAAGTCATGTATAGAAAAAAGATGTCAATAGGTCACGTTATCAGCCTCTCTGTGATTGGTTCTTAAGTATATGAGGAGATGTCATGGCGATCTAACTTTTAATTTTTACGAATTGTTACGAACCAGTGCACCACTATTTCAGATTTTTTCATTTCATGCAAAAATGCATTGAATAAGCTTAATTTTGTTCATTCTGTGTGTATATATATAACTTCTTCGAGTATATGAAAGTATATAAACATATGGTGTTCTGCACATACGCGGTTTTACAATATGCATTGTGTCACAAGTAATACATACTATCTAACAACAAGAAAAGCAGGGAGTTAGCAATTTAATTATAATAGAAGTCTGTGTGTGGAACACAGTGGCCTAGTTTTCACCGAGAGTTTAATCCGGATCAGAATGTAAGAACCAACCAACTACAGTCGAGCATTCCCCTGTTAGAGTCGAACGACAAAAGAATGCTCGACTGTAGTTGATTGGTTCTTACATTCTCTAATCCGGATTAAACCCTCAGTGGAAACTAGGCCAGTGTAATGTTCTTTGTCCTAACTGGAAAACAGCCTTTGATTGGTTTATTTATGCACTATGCATTATGCGTTATGCAAAAAACTGTGTTGCGGTCATAGCGGGGAGCACAGATTCTTAAATAATGCATAACACATAATGAAATTATGAAATAACACATAACGCATAAGAAAATAAACCAATCAAAGTTCTTCGTTTTTTTTCTTTCCAAGAAATAAAGAACTCTAATTGATTAAATTTCTTATGACTTCTGCACACTGGACGCGGAAACGCTTGCCGCGCGGCAAAATGTGATGCGATAGCCAATAAGCTTACAGCTCCTAATGTGTTCATTGGTTACCGCGTCTCATTTTGTCGCGCGGCAAGCGTTTCCGCGTCCAATATGCAGAAGCCATTATACTTTATGTATTATACAAGAGTCTGTGCTCCCAGTTTAATAGCCGCAACATTGACTTTTGCATAACGCATAGTGCATAAGTAAATCAACTAATCAAAAACCTTCTTTTCCTCTTATTTCACGGAAAGGAAGAATTTTGATTAGTTGATTTTTTTATGCACTATGCATTATACGTTATGCAAAAGTCTGTGCTGTGGCCTTTCATTAAGATGCGTTCGGAAACGTTATGGCCGCAATACAAACTTTCGCATAACGCATAGTGTATAAGCGAATATCAACTAATCACCCGCACATCACCTGCCCAATTTGAATACGAAATAATCACATATGGCCATATATATATTCCTAAAATGTTTGGAAAAATAATGCTTGCGTTCAGTGAACTCAACAGTTGAGTGAGCGCTCACTGCTACTGACGTATTCTTTCAAATTTAAAATGCTGATTGGATATAAAAGTATAATAATAATGAGTGCTCTCTCAACTGTTGAGTTCGCTGAACGCAGCCAATGTAAAAATACAATACTTGGAATGACATAAACGCGGAAAAATAATGTAAAAATACTTGAAATAATACAAGCTCATCAAAATAAAATAAAAATAATGTAAGAATACTTGGAATAATGCAAATGTGCAAAAATGTAATAAAAGAATTATTTCTTTGATTTTAATTATTTTATCTAAAAATAACACAAGTGTTAGTATAAAATATTACGAGCAATTTCGTGTGCTGCTATTTCTCAATTGCTTGATGCCAATGGACAAAACATAGATGATTAATGCACAATCATTAACTTTTATACATAATTATCAACTTTTAATGTAGCACAGATGCTTTTGAACATTTGGATCATGGAGTAATAAGAAGGAGATCAAACTTGAGATCTGAAAGTGAGCTCGAAATATGGTGTAGGAAAACCCGTGAAAAATCTGGTAGATGTGATTTTAGTGCCATCACGCCTTGTGGGAAAAGTTGGAAGTATTGACTGTCACGTGGTCACAGGTCACACGTATGTATCTACCAGAGTTGTTTTGTTTAAAATCTTTTTTTAAACAAATATTTAAAACATGTTTTAAACATCAGATTAAATTAAATATGTTTTTTTTAAACAATTTAAAACAAATGTTTAAAACGTTATTTAAAAAAAATGTGTTTTTAATACTATTTAGTAGAGGAGAAGATAATATTCAATTACATTTTACACGATAACTTGGTTTACTTGGTTAATAATAAATATTTAAGTTTAAAACTTGACAACTATATTCATTAAAATGTTGTTGAATCGATTCTGGACTTAAAATTACAAAATATTTATTACTTAGGATATTATTAATAAAGTACTCTACAAATTTTTTCAGAATTTTTTATCAACTTTTTAGTATTGTATTTTCTCATTTTTACCAACATAAGAAAATACGATATTAAAAAATTCTAAAAAAATTCTTAGAGCTCTATGAAAAGAAAATTAACAATTTTTGTCTTTTGCAATTTTTCTGTAAAGTTAAATAGTATTTGAGTAAAAATAATTGAAGACCAATTTTCGACAATTTTTATCAATTAATATCTTGTTAACTATTGCGAAAATTGCAAAATGGTAGAGGACTTTTCTTCTTAGTTTAGTCCATTCTGCGAAAAATTTATCATTATTTTTTAAACACCCTATATATAAGCAGCTCGGCAGCCTATAAAAATATATAGTAACGTAAATCAAGGAATAATTATTTTGAAATAAAAATCTCAAAAAAAAAGCCGTGAGTAATCAATACGCATAAAGGACCACATTAGCAAAATGCCATGCTATTGTATAAATTTGCATAACTTAAAATATGTACAGTCAAATAAAATGTAAACATTAAATAGCAAACAACACATTCAAATATACTTATATTTATGTGATAAAAGTTAAATTTAAGAAAAATGGGGAAGTAGATAATTCTAAATGTTAAAATGTATCTCAAAAACGTTTCAAAATACTTGAAAGTAAAAATGTGTTATAATAAAATATAATAAATATATATTTAAAAGATGTTTTTTTTGTTTTAAACATGATTTTTTTCTAAAGCTGTTTAAAATATATATAAAACATTAAAAACATGTTTTAAACAAAAAAAACTGAATATTTTGTTTAAAAAAAATACGTTTTTTATCAACTCTGGCATCTATTACATACATATCATATGTGTGACCTGTGACCACGTGACAGTCAATATAATTCCAACTTTTTCCGCAAAGCGTGATGGCATTAAAATCACATCTGCCAGATTTTCCATATTATACCATGTTTCAAGTCCACTTTTTTCATAATCAGCCTCTTGAGTTTGATCTCCTTAGGTTTGTTCGCGTCGCATGACGCCAAATTAATGTTGCCAGAGAGAGCACTTGGATCACTCAAGTAAGGTGGCGATTGTAGTAGTTGCATTCATGTGCTCCAATGTTCAGTGACATGAACGGATTTAGAACAAGTGAGCATGTCATCTAACTTAATCCGTGAGACCACTCGAACCAGTCGGACATGTGCCTTGTTTGTATTTTGTGTTATCTTGATTATTTGAAAAGCGTTTTTTCAAAATAAATGCGTTTTTAATAAATATAAAAGTTATATTACATTTTTATATTATACAATATTATATTATATTTTATTGTATTTAATATTATTTTATTTTTTATTTTATTTTATTTTATTATTTTATTTTATTAATATTATATTATATTATATTGTTATATTATATTTTTATATTTATATAAAAAACGCACTTATTAAATGCGTTTTATACAAAATGAATCTAAAATACTTTTTTCGATACAGTATGTTTTCAACCATTCACGCATGTATAACATGCCCCAATCATATCATCTTCTGAGGTGAGGCAAATGGCGTGTGCTCTTAATTGATCCATGGAGTATGCTCTAATGCGACTCGAATATCTAGTCACCATATTGGTTCCGGTGACGCGATGTATTGGAGTGTGTTGAACATATTGAAACGTGCGACGCGACCAAATTTCTTCTTATTATTCCGTGATTTGGATCCAATTAGGGTATCCACACAAACTTGCATAAACGTATGCATAAAGAAAATTATCCAATCACATTTTACGTGCGTCTTTATAGAAGAAATGCGATTGGATAATTTTCTTTATGCATACGTTTATGCGGCTATACAAATTTGTGTGGATATACCCTTAAGCAGGAAGCATAAACTCTTGCATAACACATAACACGTAATACACAAGAAAATGTACCTCAACGTCTTTCGTTTTTTTCCTTTCCATAAAATAAAGAACTCAGACTAGTTGAATTTCTTATGCATAACGCATAACACATAAGACATAAGACATTCAATCAGAGTTCTTTATTTTATGGGAAGGAAAGAAACGAAGAACTTTAATTAGTACATTTTCTTATGAATTACGTGTTATGTATTAAAAGTCTGCTCTCCGCTTCAAGACCGCTAGACCAATGATCCGACATAAAGACGCCATATTGATTTGCATAAGATTTTATTGGCAGCGATCTTATGCTATGCTTATGCAATTTATGTTATTTTGTGTGGTGACTCTGAAGCGGAGAGCAGTTCATGTTATTGGTTGCGCTAAGTAAACTCAACAGTTGAGTGAGCGTTCACTATATTTTAGATTATCTAATTAGCATTTTAGATCTGGAAGGATACATCAATAGCAAGCGAGCGCTCACTCAACTGTTGAGTCCGCTGAACACAGCCATTGGATGCATTCAGAACGACAATCGCTTACTGAGCTCTTTTATCTGATTGGTCTATATTTTCGGATCTAATGGAATATGCCAATCAGATGAAAGAGCTCATTGAGTTTAGTAAGCGATTGTCGTTCTGAATGCACCCATTATGTGTGATAGCTCTTATTGATCGAGACGATTGACGATAGACTATTACGCATACGCAATGTTTATACACCTTGTCTTTTAACATCATAGTATGTATACATGATGGAATTAGACAAGGAAGTCTAATTGTGAATTTTGGAATGAAGTGAAAATTTCAAAAGTGAGCAAATTCATTAGATATTGACTAATTAAATTATAAATATTCTATTAAATTTGCTCATTTTTGTAATTTTCACTTCATTCAGGGTATCAATTATGAAACTTTATCCTAGGATGGAAAGTGAAAAGTGAAAATTTTAACTCTTGAAGTTAATGGAAAAATTTTTCCATAACTCCTTGTTCAAGATATACAATCAACCCCAAGGTGTTGTATTGCACACATAAATATGGCACGATCATAAAAATTGTTCCTAAATGTTAACACAACTTTCATAAAAAACAAATAAAAATTAATAAATAATCATATCTATAAAAACTATTACAAATTAAACTAAAAGCTAATAAAAACTAAATAATAATATACAAAAATTCGAAAACGTAAAATCGAATCGTCAAATGTTATATTCATGTCAGTTGCAAATAAGGGCGCCATTATTTAAATCTGGAAATCCGCGCATTTAAATCTGGTAAATCGGGTAATCCGCGTATGTGATTGGGTGATCTTGCTACTTACCAAACAGGAAAAATTTGCCAAAAGGTGAAACAACCGGTCCTAATGCCGGATCCTCATATGGGCAACAGCTTTTGATACCAAACGCAAATTGGTGAAAAGCCGGTTGTGAGGATAAAATTTATCCCTATTGCCTGTTTTTTTTGTACCAATCAGCGTTCGATGTCAGAGCGCTGCTGTTCGTATGAGGATACGGACTAATTCCATTATATAGTAGTAGATAGTACATATGTACCATCTGTGAGAGCCAGCCAGCTAACTAGTCAGCCAGCCAGTTAGGTGTACCTGAACGGCCGATTGACGCTCTCGATGGCTCGGCCAGGTTCGGCGAGCACGTCCGATCACGTCCGACACAAACGTCACTTCGATGGTGTGCGTTGCGAATGCTGCGACGAGCGAGGAGTGACGAGTGCTACGACACGATTTTTCCCTTCCAGCTCCCAGTGGCTCCCAGTATCACGACGCGTTCAGTACGAAGGTTTGGGATTTTCAGAACGAAGATTTGGGATTTTACGCGTTCCATCTTACTCGTATTCGCGTCTCGTTTCGTTTGCAGCCCGTATTCAAGAACAGTTCAGTTGCTTCTAGCATCGGATGTGCCTGGATATGCACGCCAAGCGTACACTCGGTACAGTGGATCGACGAGTACAGTTCGATCGGGAGTACGACCAGCGGACGTAGAAGCGGCAACGGAGTCGTGCAAAGTTTTCGACGCGTATTGGGTGAGGTGTGGTACCGAGTAGTGCTGTGATCGCCGGTATATAAAGTGGTGTGCCAGCAGTTGTAGTGGAATTTTCAAGGCGAAATCTCAGAGAAACCGTGTCTTTGTCTCTCAGATCCGACAGGTAAATATAAATACATGCACCATGCGCGCATGGCAAGACGCGACGACGCCGATTAATGCCAATGATCGCGTTCTCGCTTTGTGTTCGTCGTGGACGCAATACCTACCTAAACGTGATGCGCGGCGCGACGTGTCGGTGATACGACACGGTGCTACGCGACGCATCAACGTACCTGTTGATATCGTTCCGCTTCGCGATATCGATGATAGTGTGAATTTTCCTCTAATCGCGCGATCACGGATAGCGATATCACGCTGACTGTTGTCTAAGATTTTTCCATTGGCAGGACCATTTTCCATTGGATTGTTTGACTTTACGGCAACTTAAATTGCATAAATCGCTAAGATTTTGGAAACAGATCTATCTTGCAATTGCATGACCAAAGCGACGTGAGCTACGATACGACTTTGTTTAGTTTAGTGCTGTTTAAAAATTTCGAAAAAAAAAAGCTACTTGGAATTTTTTTCTCGTATACATACATAGGAAAATTATAGATTGTGCTGAAAATAAACGGTTTAATTAAATTACTACGAATTATATGAATTATCAATTTTTATATGAATTACTATGAATTAGTAGGAGATTGGGAAATTTGTAGCAAATTCAATCTCTTGTATTACAGTAGATTAGTGCATACTAAAAACTGCTAGACCTAAAAATAGAATTTCTAGTATATAAAAGCATACAAATATTATAAACGATTAAATTTCCTAAAATTATATTGTCATGTTATTTAACAGAATTTATATGCATTATTGCTATTTCTTTACATTAGGGGATACCTCTTTGATGACCTTGATCTTGATATATGTTATAGAAGTAAGAGTACTAAACAACTTTTTCTTATAAACTAGTTGGGTAAACTCTAATATTAATAAGGCTCTTACGAATATCAATTCGATAATAGTGAATTAATAGATTATTCGAGCTGCACTGGATATTATTTGCGAAACTTTATCAATATAATAATAATTTATTGATATTAATACATATGTTTGATTAATGTATACATTTGAAGACAATTGATTCCTTCGGATTTATTACACACACACACACACATACACACACACACACACACACACACACACACACACACACATATTCAAGAAAGACTCGGATATAAATCACATTAGGTATATAGAATTAATTAGAATAAGATCACTGAAGATGACCAAGTTAAAAAAGTCGATACATATGTATAAATATCAATAAATTATTATTATATTGACAAAGTTTCGCAAATAATATCCAGCGCGGCTGGAATAGCCTGTTAATTCACTATAATTGGGTAAAGGTTTACAATGTCCCGGCCATCTCAAATTTTGATAAAAATACATACTCATTTGACGCGTTTTTGCATGAAATGAACGAATCTGGCGGAATAAAGCGTCGCTCTGCCCCGCGAACCAAGATATGAAGCATTAAAGTTCACGAATATACAGGAAATTTACCCGAAATACTGCGAAGTATGTATTTTATATTTAAAATTAACAACTGATGTGTGTGCGTGCGTGCGTGCGTGCGTGCGTGCGTCTTACTTTCTGTAATTATTTGGAATCCATGTGCAACAGTATAATTATAGAAGTCGTGCGCCCCTTTGCTGCGAAGAGGGAAGAGGAGAGGGAGAATCGGGAATAAGATTCGCTTTGCGTGGAAAATCGAAACCTATGTGCAACATTACAATTATAGAGGTCGTTTCGCTTCTGTGACAGATTTCCTAACTTCTATACTTGCCAACTTTAACGCTTCATATCGTGTGGGACAGAGCGACGCTTTTGTCTGCCAGATTCGTTTATTTCATGTAAAAACGCGTCGAATGAGTGTATTTTTATCAAAATTGGAGGTGGCCGGTATATCGTAAATCTTTACTATTAATTGTCGGTCTAATATAGTTTTTGAGATATATTTACATAAAACTCATTTTCATAATTGTATTATTTTCTGTGTATGACACCTCTATATGATGAATAGTGTACATAAGTCCTTCCATAGTGTACATAAGACCTTCAAAAGGTTTTAAGTGACGGTTACTGTTCGTCCAAAAGTTATTATCAAATAAAGTTTAAAAAATAATTTCTTATTTCTACCATATACAATATTGAAAACTACCCTATACCTTTCCTGTCGAGGCGTTCGACTTTCTATCCGAAAAGAGGTCCATCATCCCATCTCTCTCTCTGTCTAGGAACATATGATTTTCCATGCGAAACGAGATTCACCCCACATCCCGCCCCTGTTTAGGGGCGTTCGACTTTCAATCCGAAGCGAGGCCCATCTCCCTCCTTGTCTCGGAGAAAGTTGATGGATTGGACCTTGCTTCGCGTGGAAAGTCAGTTATCCCTAAACAAGGAAGAGGTAAGACCTTACTTTGCGTAGAAAGCCTTACGTCCCTAGGCAGGCTGGGAGGGAGTGAACCTCATTTCGCGTGGAAAGTCATACGCTCCTAGGCAGAAGGGGTGGAGAGGTTGAAGTCGCTTCCAGTTTGGAAAGTCGTATCAGTAGCGCAACTCTCCTAATTTTATATTGGCCAAAATGGAATGCGCATGCGTGAAATAAGTTGTCTCATCTCCTTTTCTTCTTTTCTCTCTCTCTCTCTCTCTCTCTCTCTCTCTCTATTTAAATGAGAAAGTGCGTTTCAATGTTCCATTTAAACATTTGTCTTAAAGCATATGTTATATGGTTTAGAGTAAAAATTTGGAGGCAAGTATTATGTATTGTTCATTTGGTGAAATGTTATATGAGAAACCTCGAGAGACTGATTTAATTCTTGTGAAAAAGTAATAAAGTGAACAGAAGTAACAAAGAAAACCGAGCAAGAAAGATTTCTTTTTATTTATTGTATTTTAAATTTATTTTTTGGACATATAGGGTGTCCCATTTTAATTTAATTTGATCACCTCAAATATCTCTTGAACAGTGCATTTTAAGGAAAAGTTTCAGACAAAAGTTTTAGAACTTTGAGAGGGACATAAGATGGTGCCATTGGTTTGATTTTGGGTGGCGTCGTCAAGATCAGGGCAAGGTTACTTTGAATTTTTTAAACAGAACTCCCTATTTTTCTGTATACATACGTATATGTATATAAATTTCCTTTTATATCAGCTTTCTCATAAAATTTGTATAGCGTATATTTATAATTACATAATATTTCTCTATATAAATATATATTTTTAAGTTAATTTAATATTTTTATTAATTTTCATAAAGTTTAGATTATTTTATTGCAATAGTAGGTTTATTTGCGTCGCATGTTCCAACATGCTCTTACAATAGCTCTTATTCACTTCAACGCATTCGTTGGAATGCGACGCGAATAAATCTAGTGAGTTTTGACAGAGCAAAAAAAGGATGAAAAATGAAAGAAATTTAGGTGGCAATGGTAGGTAACTTACTTATTTCATGCATTTCATTTTGACTCGACATTGACCAATACTAACATCAAAGGCGACAGAGAGTTGCGCTACTGTATATGCTGTGGTCGTATGCCCCGAGGTAGAGAGAGAGGAACTCGCTTTGCGTGGAAAGTCGACTGTATGCCCGTTAAAATATAGCAGAAATAAGACATTTTTAAAACATTTTTTAAACTTTATTTGTTAATAATTTTTAAACGAACACCATCATCTGAAACTTTTTGAACATATATCAAGGTCAAAGTCATCGAAGAAGTATCTCTCAATGTAAAAGTTTATCCGAGTTCTATGTAAATATATCTGGGCCCATATTCTGTACACGTCTACCGACAGTTGTCAGTGTCGATAATTAATGATAGCTAATGGGAAAGATTATCCTAGAAAAAAGCCCGGTTCTCATTGGCTGTCGCTACATAATAATACCGACAACTATCGATAGACGTGTACAGAACATGAGCTTCAAAAAGCTATATGAGATTGCCAATTAATTTATAAGAAAAGTTGATCAGACCCTCACCTCTATAACATATGTCAAGGACAAAATCATCAAAGAGGTGTAAAGAAATATCGCATTACTTCATTGTCAAAGTTGATTATACAATATATTATAGGATCGTATGTGATAACACAAACTATAGAAATCAATGCCTTAAACGGTCTTGCTGGATCTTAAATGCTTGTATAATTCTGTGTGAATTTATATACTACGTATGTCCTTTGAAATGCGCAAAAGTTGATTATATTATGTCACTGCATTTATAGCGAATTTCTGTTACTTTCATTTAGACTAGATCAGCGCATTAAAAGCTGCTAAAAATAATACGGTTGTAAAAAATGTAAAAACATATACATATTTTAAATATTTAAATAATGATGTCGTATTATTTAACTGAATTTACATGCATTTCATTATCAAAAATTGATTACAGGGTTTGAAATTTATAAAATACTCGGCTCTTTTTTAAAAAAGTTTAGCTCACTGGATATTTTAGAGGTTTTATTGGATTTTATTGAGATTTTTTTTTTATAAAATTGGTTTAATATTTTTTTTTACATAATATTTAGTTTACGTTGTATTTATCATTATTTAATTACATATTTAAATAAAATTAATTATATGAATTAATTAATTATGAATTTTGTAAAAATATTATAATGAATTTTTCAAATATAAAAAACCTACTTCTATGAAGAAGATAAAGAAAGAAATGATGACATTACACATATATATATATAAAATTACATATATAAAATCATAAAAAACATTCGGATAGAATAAAATAATCAACCCAAAAATGGTGAATGTATACTGTATATTGTATATTTTTGTATATATATTATATATTTTATAGATATTTAAATGTAATTTCAATTTCAAGTAAATTTACAAAAAGGGACTTATAAAACAATATATAAAATATGCATTAAATAAAATTATATTACAGTTTTAAAATATTATTAAAATATTATAAAGTATTATATATACACTCGTCAACAAAATTATTATATAGGTAAATTTATATCAAAATTTTGCATAAATTCAAATAAGCGTAACTCCGCAAAAATGATCGCATTTAAAAGATTTTTTTTTCATTTTCAAAGGTAAAGCTTTACGAAGCTTTCAGTGGATTTTGAATCTATCCTTACCTCTATCTGGCATTTTTTATAAAATGAGGACGTGTTTTTTTTTTAAGAAATTTACATAGTTTGACGCACTTTACGGGATGGAGTAAATTTTTTTTGTAAATGTCATGATAACTATCGTAAAGTATGGACTTTTCTCTGAAAAATTAAGAAAAATTAAGTTTGTACGATTTTTTTTAAGAGATACAGTGTATCAAACTTACCATGCATTTTATTCAATTACCGCCAGCATTAGCAGGTTTATCCAATGCGCATCACAGGGAAGTTGCTGGTCCGATTTTGCGCGCGCGCTCGCGCGCGTGTGTGTATGTGTGTGGGAGGGAGTGGAAGGAATGGAGGTATGTGGGAGTATATTTGCTCTTTAAAATTGTGTATTTCCGCCTCGTCTTCGAATGACCTCTTGTAAACTTAACCATATTGATGCAAGCTTTAATTGAAGGACTGAGGAATTTCCCATCATATTCGATGCAATGCTCCATATAGCAACAAATGTGTAGAATCTCGTTAAGATATCGTATCGGAATATCATAATATCTCAGATATTTAGTAGACGTCTGGGTACATGACAGATATATATTAATAGGATATACTAATGTCCGCAGAAAGAAAGACTAAGATATTTCAAGTTTAAGCGAAATATATTGTTACGTTATTCCTAAGATATCTGTGATTATTGTTGCTTATAGTAAGATCTGGAATGTTATCGTAGGTATGTTATAAAGATATATTGGAGATAATTATAGTATCTAGTTGGGATATATTTGGGAGAATGTTTTTAATAAAAATGGCTTAATTTACATTGATCATATAGACAAAAAATATTATTAAAATAGTATGTAATTTTGAAGATTTTTGGCATGCAAAACCAAATCCATAGCCCAAAGATCCTCTCTATAATCCCCACTGAAGAAATTATAATACGAAGTGGATAATTTATCTTGTGTATTTTCGGAAGCCCATATGCAAGAGGCTCAACAGGGTCTTTTGAAGCGTTCAATTTGTTATAAACCGAATTCTAAACAAAACCGCGCTGTTTCCATCCTTTTAATAACGTCTTAAGTTGTGTTAACAATTTATTAACTGGATTATGTGTCAATAATTATAAGTCTCAATATCAGACAGTAAAGTTTCCATTTTTTATACGTATTCCGTCTTGTCAAGTGCCACCACCACATTACCCTTATCCGCTCTTGTAAAAATAATATGTGGATTGTTTTTAACAAATGCTTTCGTTTCTTAATTAAAGAAAAAATTCTCTTCTCTACGTTAGTCTTATTAGCACATGCTTGCTTTATCTCCTTGATTAAAAGAAAAATTCTGTTCCTAAATTCCCTAATTATATACGAGGGGTGTTCAAAAAGTAAGTTTCCCTGCTCCGGGAAAAAAGCAAAACACAATTTTTAGGTTAAAGTAACATATGTATTTATTGTTTGACTTATAAACTAATTTTCTACATAGTCCCCTTGGACTTGAATACATTTTTTATATCTGTTCTGAAGCTTTGACAAAACTTGTTTATAAAAATCCGTGCCCTGTTTTTTAAAGAATAATTTAACAAAGTCTTTTACTTCATCATTTGAATTGAAGTGATGGCCACCCAAACTTTCCTTTAACTTAGGAAAAAGAAAAAAGTCACTTGGTGCGAGATCTGGAGAGTAGGGTGAGTGATCAAAAATTTCCCATTTGAATTTTTCCAGTAAGGTTTGTGTTTTTTTTGCTGAATGAGGCCGTGCATTGTCGTGAAAAAGCAACACTTTTCTCGATAATTTTCCAGGACGCTTTCGTTTAATGGCACTTTTAAGTTTATTTAGCACTTCACAGTAACGATCTGCATTTATCGTGGTACCGGATTCAAGAAAATCAATCAACAGAACACCTTCGTTGTCCCAAAAAACTGTGGCCATAACCTTACCAGCAGAATACTGGATTTTTGCTTTTTTTGGAGCACTCTCTTCTGATTTCTTCCAAACCATACTTTGTCGCTTCATTTCAGGGTTTGTGTGGTGAACCCACGTTTCATCCCCTGTCACAATGCGTGAGTAAACATTTTCGCCTTCATCTTCAAGCATGTCAAGAAATTTTCCTGCAGACTGAAGTCTTTTTTGTTTGTGATCATCTGAAAGCAGGCGTGGGACCCACCTCGCACAAACTTTACGGTAACGAAGATGATCTGTTATGATTGTGTGGATTGAAGTTCGACAAATATCGATTTCAGGAGGCATTGAGTCCAAAATTCTGTCAATTGTAAAGCGCCTATCCGCCAAAATGATTTTTTCGACTGCTGCGACTGCGTCATCTGTAATGGCGGTTTTTGGCCTGCCTGCACGCTGCTCATCATGAACTTCTCCGCGTCCCTCGAGAAAATATGTACGCCACCGACGCACCATTTGCACACTCATGCATTTGTCACCATAAATATGCACTAATTCAGTGTGAATTTCGTTGCCATTAAGCCCTTTTGCAGTTAAAAAGCGAATAACTGCACGCAACTCACAAGTGGACACGTTTTTCACAGGTAGCTCCATGGTTTCCGAGCCGGTACTGATGAAAAAAATTTTTTCGGCAGCTAAGACCAGTTTCGCTCTTATCGGTATATCCTAAACTAAAACTATGTTCGGTCCCAGCTCGCTAGATGGCGCTGGGGCAAAACGGCAGACTAGGGAAACTTACTTTTTGAACACCCCTCGTATATTTGTTTAAATTCCCTAATGTTTGATATATATTGTTTAATTTTAATCTGACAAAATTATGTTCAATGTGTTTTACAAATTCAATCATGGTGTTTCTAATGTTGAATGTTGGCAAGTAGAAATTCTCACCCAATTGTAACAATGGTTTGACTTCCCATGGTATAATAGCATTGCTAAGATTTTTGAACTATTTGTCATTTACTTTAAAGATGTCATATGAAATGTGTTTAAATTGAGCAGCAGAAAGATTCACTTTAATCGTTTCATTATTTATGTTATTATTCTTCGGTTTTTGGAACTGAAATTTTTTGTGAGAATTGCAGCTAACAACTCAGATAATTTAGTCTCCACGATATTGTCTACTACGTAATAAGTAATATCCTTTATTTTCTCTTTGTCACAACCATTTCTTTTTTGTAACCATAAAAATTTTCTGTTTAATTTCCGAGATTCACTCCTTAAGAACTCCCTAAAATTTCAAAAATACTCATTTTTAGGTCAGAATATCTCGGAAACCTGACGGAATGGAGCAATTTGGGCTAGGGATTTAATTTTAGCATGCCAAAAAAACTTTCGAGATTACATACTATCTATGTCAAAATTCATGTTGGCCTGTGTTATTTTTAATATGTATATTAATTAATCGATGTAAATATAGACATTATTATAGTTGCTGTATCTAAAATAATATAATACAACAAAATTACGTAAAAGAAAATATATTCTATAAAGTTCATGACATTAATTTTACAATATAGATTTGAAAAGCAAAGCAAAATAAAATAATACAAAGAATAAAAATCATAACATATAAATACATTTCATAAATGATATAAATATATGAAGAACCACCACAAAAACAGATAAAGTTAGATATTAATTAAAAATATTACGCTATAAAGAAAGTACATATTTGTGAATAACATAGCAATGGTTTTTTACTTGCATACTTATGTTACTAAAAAAATTATATTTTGTTTTAATTATTTTTAACTGAATTATGCTGAGTAAATCTCAGTTGAACATCTTGCAACTGTGTAGTCAGCCAAATATATCGTAGTAGCATGTGATTGGCTATATCTAGATTCTATATAAATTACTTTATATCATAGGTCTGTGATTGTATGTCTGATTAGGAATTTGTACGACTAGGACATGTCCTGTTAGGGTGCGATTATATGTAGCGCGGTACGCGGTACAGATACTAATTAGGTAACTATAGGAACCGGCGCAAACCGTACTGCTTGCTTCTTTTCCTTATTACATGAAGCGCGGTAAGCAGCACGGGCTAGTGACAAATTCACATTACTAAGCATTTTTTAATAGAATTAATTGATTTAAATGTAATTATTAAGTAAATCCGTTGAAAAAACGAAAATATTGATAAAAATGTGCTTAGAAATAAGTTAATATATTTAAAAATTCATATTAAAGTTAATTTGTGACTAGCCCGTGCCGCTTATAATAGAAGGGAAAAGAAGCAAGCGGCATGGTTCCTATAGTTACCTAGTTAGTTTAAACCGCGTACCGCGCTACATGTAATCGCACCCTTACATTTCCACTATAAAACTAATTAACAAAATAAATATTTTTCTCAAAATGAACAAAATCTATTCGATAAGTTAACAGAAAATTATATTACATTTTATCTGTAATCACAGACTTGTCATAACTATCCTTTATATCTGATTATTATGGTTACAAATTATCTACCAAACGATAAATATGGCACGTTATATTAAAAGTTATTTAAGACGATATTATGATATTATTTTGCAATGCAATTTTTAAAGGTGTGCTTTATTTTTTAATAAAAACTGATTTCAAACTTTTATTTTTTTCTGAAATAAGATATTTTATTAGTAAAAGTCACATCTTAATTTATTATTAAAACATAAGATATATGTTAGCGAACGAATACCGCACGAACAGCGAACACAAAAGTTTATGTTGTTATTTTCCAAACAACACAAATTCTAAAATTATGACATAAGATGTCTTTAAGTTGTTTTTTAGACGCAAAGAACGTCTTATGACTTGATTTTAGATTCCTGTTAAGCTAGCCCCTCTCTCCCCTCCACTAGCGATAAATAAATTCTAACACATACCAAAATTATTTTAGATACTTTTTGTTGTCCGGGTTGTTATACATAAAAGTCACACAAGTTAAATGCTATATGCAACAAACATCAAATCTAATCGAATGTTAATCCTCAGAACACACAACTCTGGCCTATTTACCCACATCCAGGTATTTGTAATCCAGCGTTTTTTCTTTTGCTTGTATCTTAGATTATGATGCATCGATTTTAACTAATTTTTTTTTAATCTATCGTTTGAAGACTGAAAAAAAAGAATTTTTGAGTTAGAAAGTCTAAAATGTCACAGCACAAAAGATATTTTGCAATAAGTGAAATGGGATCGCGGCTCTTTAGGTTATAACTTATTTTATTCACTTACCTATACTAATGATGAGATATGGAGATTTCCGAAGTTGATAATAAATACAATTAATGCGTAAATAGATATAAAGATCATATTCAGATCACATTCAATCCGTGATGCAGTCGCAAAAAGCAAGGATGCCTGATGCCATTTCAGGAACGGTTTATGACATCGAGATCAACGCCATCAGTCGGCGACCTAGCGCGACCAGTAGCTATTCATTTAAGCATGAGCCATCTATGTGACACATATGACTCATGCTTAGATGTGTAGCTACTGGTCACAGTAGACTGCCGACTGATGGCGTTGATCGCGATATTATAAACCGTGCCTGAATTTGCATTCGGCTATGAACGTTAAAATAACCGAGAAAGTAAGCCTACTCGTCGAGCAAATGAACGATTGGTTTTTACTTGGATCCAATCAATCGCATTCAATTGGTCGCAAGCAGGCCATTTATCATGGAAGAAAAATCGGAATGGATTCCAATCGGAATTATTGTTTATTATTCATATTATGCTATTATTATTGTGTTTTTGCGGAATAAAACGATCTATACGATATCTGAAGACAAATTTGAGACAATCTTAAGTATAAAACCTAATTATAAACTACCTGAAAGATAATTTTCTTGCCCTTATATGTACAATAATTATGCCCTTATATGTACAATAATTACTATTTCATTAGTTCTATATAAGAGACATCTTAGAAACAATTAGAAGATATCTTATCTGTTTCAGATGGTTTCAGAATATCTCTAAGATATATTGTACACATTTACTTTGTTCAGAGTAAGATATTTCCTGAATATATCTTATGCAGGAAGTGTATTCATGATTTAGCCATTATAATAAATTGATGATATCTTAGAGATATTGAGATATATTTCGTACTAATATCCGCAATGATTTCAATATATCCCATAGATTTCCATTGCTGTGTGAAGCTGCTTTAGTTGCTGCAGATTTGTTGGCGGTTTCTCTAATTTTCGTGAGAGTTGCTTTCTTCGAGGAAATTCATTGCAATTTTGGCGATATGTGGACGAACATTGTTGTGCTATATCAGAATAAAACATCGAGATGCTACCGCATTCATGCGCTAATGAGCGCGGATTTGAATCCCATTGAACATGTATGGGATATGATGAGAAGAAGACTATGAAGATTAGAGGAATAGCCAACAAATCCGCAGCAATTGGAAGCAGTATTGCATCGAATATGATGGGAAATTTCTTTATTTCTTTTTTTTTAAAGAAGATCGCCCGCGATTTTTGATTTGCGGTTTTTCCGCGGAACGTTGGGCAAATGCTGAGACTTAAGGAAATCCTTAACAGGAGACGGAGATACTGCAGAAAGTCCCCACCCTTATCCGAAGTAAAAAGAAAGAAGTGCACAAGACTCAAGAAAAGAGTCAAGAGGAATCCAACGAGACTGAGAGGATGCTCGAAATTGATTCTGGGAGACTGGTCGTTTAGGAAAGTCAGAAAGGAATCCTGTTCGGAAGACTCGCGTGAAACGGAATGAGCGGACAGAATTTGTGCAGTGACACAGAGTAGAGCGGGAAATTGTCCAGGAGCTTCGAAAATTGCTTAGAAGAAACACTAGCTCGTCGAAATTGTGATTGTCGGGACGACAATCTGGAAGGAGGGGGGAGGGGGAGCAGTGTTATACCCGCACCGTGCTGACACTCGTGCCGTACTGTTTCCGAGCGAATCGAATTAAGAAGACCTGAAGAGCGCGTCGCTGGGCGACGAGCAGCAGCACAGCTATTTAACGAGTTTGATAGATTTGGCGATTGAAACGTCATTTCGCTCGGATGTGCTCCGATCGTTTCGGTATTTCGCCGCAGTTTACGGACGCTTTGCTCGTACAAGTTTTTAGTAAAGTTTTAATAAAGTGCTTCATTCTCTTCTTAATCAACGTGTCTTTTTATTTCGGGAGTGCGCGTTCGCTCGGACTGACGATTCGGTTGCGAATAACGCACAGTGAGTGTAACATTTTTAAGCTTTAATTAGAGTTTGCATCATTATGCGTGCACGTTTTCATCCGAATACGAAGCGGAAGTACACAGTTTTAAATAGCAAATATATCTTCACGTACCTTCATTCCCCGCGTGCAAAATTGAAGCAGCAACCATTACCTCCTCGTAATGCACATCGGGTAATGCTAATGTTGGCGGTAATTGAATAAAATGCATAGATGAGTTTGATACATTCCATCTCTTCGAAAAAAAAATCGTACAAAGCTTAATTTTTTTTTAATTTGTAAGAGAAAAGTCCATATTTCACGATTGTTATCATAACAATTATAAAAAAAATTTACTTCTCCCCGTGGAGTGCGTCAAACTATATCAATTTCTCAAAAAAAAACATGTTTTTATTTTTTAAAAGATGTCAGGTAGGGATAAGAATAGATTAAAAATTCATTGA